CGGGGGTGGCCGGATCTAAGGTGTGTGAATATGGATTAAGGGTGTGTGACAACTAAATTAGTCCTGGGTATGGGTGGCACGATTTAGGCTTGTAGCCTAAATGGAGTAAAACAGAAACAAAGGCTTGTTGCTTTTTTGCTGTTGCCTCCAGCCTAGCCTGCCACAGACTGTTTTTCCTCTGCCATGCCACTCTGCCTTGGGAGTTCACTGAGTATGGCCTGAAACCTCTACAAACTGTGAGCTAAAAATTTTCTTCCTTTAAGTTGTGGGTGTTGGGTATTTTGTTCCAGCAATGAGAAAGTAACTAAGTGCATTAGCAGGTCCTATCCCCATCTGCTCTGTCTAAAGCTTTATGCTATCATTTATCCCGACCATGGTTCACACGGATCTAGAAGCCCATTACCAAATCTGAATCTGTCTGCCGTCACTTAAAAGTGTGATTTGGGGACAAATACTCAGGTGTTCTGATATACAAAGAGTGACTACTAACAGCAGCTGATGGCTATCGTAAGAGATAGTCCAAAATGACCTTCGGACAATGCCTGGCATATACGGACTTCTTATTCTTGTTATTATTTTCTGCCATTATGTAAATGTACTCAAGTCTCTGGACACTGCCTTTCCATTTCAGTTCTCCTTCCAACTCTACCCAGAACTCTTTCTTCATAAGGCACTAACTCACCACAGTCCTGTTTCTGGCCACGCCCGTCACTGTTCCTGACAAGTTGCATCTTTGCTGAATACATCTTTCAGTAAACATGTCTAATTTATACTTAGTGCACAAACGCATTTTACAAGACAGGTGATAACATCCGTATTATTTTTAAATTCACTAAAACCAAGATGATGCATGCTTCTGATTTTAAACCTAAGTCTGAGCCCAAATTCTCTCATTTTCTTAAGCCATTATAATCAGAATAGAAAAAAACCACAATGTTTTCAAAGAATCACAATCAACCTTGATAGAGACAAAATGCCTAATCTTCCAAAGTAAGGTTTAAATTAATGATTTATATGTTACTAATTTCCCACATATACTTTCAGATGGAGTAAGACAAAATAAATAATGTAAACTGTCATTATTGGATCACAAATATAAGGCAAATTTTATAACTTTTATTGAAAACTTGGAAATTAAAAAACTAGGTTATCAAGTACAAATATTAATTAAAAATACTTGTATAATTTGTCCCTTAAGTTTTTGAAGATTTAAATCAAATCTTACATATAAGCAGATTTTCAAAATATGTAAATGAAACATTCAAATAAAGACACAAGGTATTTTTTCGTCAAGAGTAAATTTATAACCAGAAAAGCACAATTATAAATTCCACCTTGCTCTTCCTTTTCACCTCTTCAATCTATATACTCCAGGTTTTCAGCCCATCCGCTAGGAAAGCAGAGTTACAGAACTACAGAAATACTCCCTTACAGAGACATCGTCTTGAGGGAAGAACAGGTCAATTTCTGTGAACCCTTTCGGTCGAGGGGCCTCCTGACAACTACCAGTACCACCCTCCCCACCATCTACCATCCTTCACACAGGCTGCTGCTTGGGAAAATCTTGAGGGCAGCCCCTAATTTTAACACTATGGTCACCTTATGGATAGAGGAAGTGGACAGGCTATGAAAGAGAAAACCAGCAAGACCACCAGAGCTGCTACATAGCCCCTGCAGCATAACACTAATTTTGTCATCAAGGTGTAGAATGTTTCTATTAGTTCATTATTACTTAAAATGTTATGAGTTTTATTATATTCAACAATGAGTATCTCACAGAAAAAAAAAATCACAAAAAGTACTGAGTTTCTAATATTGTTTATAAAAAAGCATCAAAATTTTCAACATTGACTCGTTTTCCGTTTATGAAGTCTAAAATAATTCCCACAAAATGACAATGAGAATATCAACAGCACTCCACAAAAAAAAATCTTTACTTCAATTGTCACACCTGAGGCAGTTTGCACACATGACAGCAGCATGTGACAGCACGTCTTCTGCTGTCCTGGCCTTTTTGTAGGACGTGCTTGGCATCCCAGTGGTCTTGCCATTTTGTCAGGAGGTTCTTATTATATTACACAGTGTATAGTTAACAGGAACATAAAACAGCAATAAAATAAATTATTAAATTCTTAATAGGAATTGTGGGTTTAGAAAAGGCATCACCATTTTCACATCGGCTGTGTGCTTCCTTACAAACCTGAAAGAAACATCAGAAATAAATTCCCGTATGAACTACAATGAAAATACCAATAAAACCCTACCACAGAAATAAGCTTTGCTTCACCCGTCACCCCCAAGGCAGTCTTCACACGGGACAACCGCTTATTCCGCACACAAGTACTGCTCACACGGATAGTGCCCGTGTTTTGCTGTCTTGTATTTTCTTGCAGGACACGGTGACATCTTTTTGGTTTTCCTGCTGTCCTAGCAGTCTTTGGGATGCCGGGCCTGCCGGTCCACCCGTCAGCTCGCCGCTGCGCTCCACCGTTTCTTTGCGTAGTTCGCTGGCCAGAAGCATTTTGTTTTCCCTCTGCTATAAACGGTCTCTTGCCAGCTGCAGTCCCAGTCCTCCAAGGAAATTTCCCCGTGACACTTTGCACTTGTGCTTTCCTTCGGAAAGTATCACTCTGTTGATGCCACCACACGTGTGGGGTCAGAGAAAACACAACCACTGGCCAGCGCTTTCGGTTTCAAGCGACATCATGGTTGCTGCGTAACTCAGCAACCTCTACTCCACGTCTGCTTTTGTTGGAGAAAGTTCCACCTCAAGCTTCTGTTCTGTCGAGGTCTCCCTACCAAGATTTCCATCACGGTGAAAGGTTGCCATCAGCAGTACCAGTTTGCTTTCCTCTGCCGTTTACGAGGCCATGTTATATATTTCTGAAATTCAAAGGTTGCACTATGTGATTCTCTGCCGTGAACGGCAGCATTTCACTGGAATTTCTGCCTGTTCCTGTGTACCTCCCGTGCCGGTCGACATGTGCTCTGTTAGCAAACGTGACACGGCTTGGAAACCGGTACCAGTTTCAAATGCACCTTCCGATTAGTTTGAAGATGGGAGCAGCATGTCTGTTCCCAGCCTTGTTCGGTTTATTACTACACGAACAAGGCCCTGGTGGCTGAGTTCCGGGATAAATGTCTAAACCGGAGAAAAGTAAGTCTTCACATCGATAAAGGCGTGAATTTTTATGCCGTATTTTGACCCTTCGCTTTTCCGTAAGGTTTTTATATTCTTGCGATCAGCGTGAGAAATCTGTGCTAGGCACAGCAGACCTACCAATGGTTTCAGTTCAGCTAGTGGGGTGTCAAAATAAATACGTTTTTCAAAATGGGTACTGGAGTATACAGAACGTTTTACTTGAATTTCATCCTTTTTGCATTTCACAGCACCTTGTAGCATTTGATCTGTTACAATTTCCGACACTGAAAGGCCGTGCTGGCGTTCTGTCCAGTATGTTTCACCCCTGTCAAGACCTTCACTATATTTTTAGACCAATTCTAACAAGGGACCGATCCATTGGGTTGGGCGGCCATTTTGCAACATTTCGACTAGTCAAACATGTACTCATGCTGCTGTTTTCCTTCTTTCATCTACAAGGAAATCTGCATTGCCTGTGTATCAGTCAATTTGCTCATTTCACTGTCACAGAACTCGCTCACACGGCCAATGTCAAATCATCACCATCATCATCCACCCACACCACTCTTCTGTTACGTTACCGTAATGGAGCATCTTCATCATCCATGCGTAAGTAATCAGATGATTCACCTTTGACCTCCTCCAAAACATGCACATCTGGCTTTTCATGTGCCATTATACTGAACTGGGCTACTTCTACCAGAAAAGTCAAAACAAAACTTTTTTTAAAACAGATCCCAGAGTGGTGCAGGTCTGTGATCCCCAGACGAGATTTGCAAAACCAGTTAGATGGAGCATAAAGGTGGGTCCAAATCCCATTTTAACCCTTTCGCACCCATGGGCACTCCTTGCCATTCATCATACCAAGTGGATAAACACATGAATTGCTTTGTATATCCCTCAGAGAAAGGGACTGAGACGCACTGCTGGCTATTGTAACACTAAGTACAAATTCAGAGTAGAAAAGTGGTGCATCCACTGGACCAGGTTTATGACAAGCTGATGCCCTGAATCATGGGGAAGTGCTCAGAAGAACCAGTCCAGATCAAGACATATTTTTTCCTATAGTACACAAAGATGCACAATGAACTAGCTTAGGCCTTGCTCCACCCACTAAAGTAGAAAGTGGTCAGACAGTATCTATATACACGTTTCATGTATATATATCTAATTTTCTTTAATTGCTTCTTCTGTCATAAGGAGCACTGTTACATACCTGATGAGAAAACCTGCAGATTCAAGTAAATTACCAAATAATTCAATTCCCAGGGTTTTTTAAAGGTTTGACTTTTATGAATATGCTAGAGATGTGCTTAATAACATATCAGACCTAGAGCTAAGTAAGGTTCATTGCGTTTCACAACTTATTTCCAAGGCAAAACAAGTATCAGTTTTAAAAGGTAGGTTAGGAACACCATAGCTTGGCGTCTAATATTCCCATAACCAGGCATGAAATAAACTGCGTTTTCTTCGGGGGGGAGGGCCTACCGCAGGGCCTACCGCAGGGCCCATACAAACCACAAAAAGAGGAGCAAAGCTTCAGTGGAAGACCTCAGGCAAGAGAGCAGCAGAATGAAACAGACATGTCATGATTGACAAAATCGGAACTCTGGAAACACTTCAGAGCCAACCCTTGAGTAAACTGCCAACTTTTAGTTACTGGGCCATTTATGGGTGAACAACTGAATAAGGCTACCATATAGCACGTGTTATTTTGAAATAAAAATGTCTCCAAATGAAACTGCCTAGAAAGTTAACACCATTCATGCTTCAGTTTTCTTAAAAAAATGATCATTTTCCACAAGTTTTACCAAAGCACAAGCTTTGCTGTGCGGGCTAACTGTAGTGTCTTGCTCACCTGAGGCCGAGTTCATCAAATTCTGCTGCACGGGTGGGCTGGTGGGGGCTGGAACGTTCATCTGAGAAAGCATGGCCTTCCTGGGGTCCTGCCATGTCGTTGTCTGATCGATGTGACTGAGACAGAACAAACCACTCTGTTAGACACCAAGTACTATGTGTCCTAAAAGCAATTCTCCTTATCAAAGCAGGGTAGTTCTGCAGGCTAATATCACAGGATGCTAGATGAGCTCTGCAAAAGCAGAGTCACCATCTCTCAGCTCCTACTCTTCCTCTGTAAGACGCTGTTCACCACACAATTGCTGGTTTATCTCTTAGATCTTTCAAGTGCAAGGTCTGAAAAACCTATGTGTAGAACTTTAAGTAAGTAGACATCATCTTCACCTAATAGGCAATTATTCACTACTAACTTCAAGATAAAATACAGTTTGTAAATTAATCATCTAAAATAATAACCAGCACTAAAACTCAAGATTCCTGAGAATCACCTACTTTTTTCTTCTAGATCTAAAAAGGCCAAATAACATATTTTAATGCCTAAAACCTCTTTTTAAAAAAAGTAAAACACAAACAAACAAGATCTTTATTGTAAATATATACTCAAAAGCCAAAACACAATTTAAAATGCCATCTATAAGTTTCCATGTCTCCTATGACTTCAACAGGTCTCTACATAAAACCTTTTGTTAATTTCCCTCCTTCCCTTTCACTTACATCGCTCTCTGACTTTCTTGAATTGAATGCAGGGCTTTCACACTGAGCTATATAACCAGCACTTTTTTATTAATTACTTTGAGAAGAGTTGTCCCTGAGTTGTACAAGTCGGCCTCAAACTTATGATCCTCCCTATTTCAGTCTCTGAAACTGCTGGGAACACAGGCATGTGTTACAGCACCTAGCAACAATTTTTACATATTAATAACTTACAGCAAAACCTATGTATGCATATAGATTTCTACATAAAACATGATGAAAACACCTTAAGATCTTATGAAACATAAAACTACAAGGCATCTTAAACAATATCTGGTATACAGGCTTTCAATAAACACTTTCTTTTTTTTGTTGGCTTGTTTTTGTTTTTCTTCCGGTACCAGGAATTGAACACTCACGACCTTTCACTTGCCAGGTAGGTGCTTTGCCGCAGAGCTAAATCCCCAGCCCCTCAATAAACACTTTCAATAAAACATTTTCTAGCCACATTTCATTGTTTCAGTGAAATCAACACTGCAGATTATACACATAAAACTTCCTGAACAATTTTCCTGAAATAATAGCCAGGTAATTACTCAAAAATTTATTCATGAAGTTCTCTTCACTATCACTTTTAAAAGCAAAAGTCTGAAAAATAGGTAACAATGATAAGAGGATTGGTTAAAGAAATGTGGTTCCAAATGTCCTACTCTGCACCTGATATTTCAGAAAAATACTTTAACAATATGGAAAATATGCATAATATAGTTTTTATAACTAGGCTATAAAACAGTACATATAGTACAAGGCTGTTTCTAAAATATATGTGTGCTGTTAAAGTATATGGGAAGAACTGTCATCAAAATTATTTTGACAGTGTTTACTTCTACATGATAAAATTACAACTCCACTAAACTCTTTATTACTAAACAATTAGGAATTCATATTTTCAAAAAGGAGACAGAAAATGGTTAATTTTTAAAAAGAAACCCTCCAAAATAATTTTTTGTAGCTGTTTAAGTTTTAAAGCTGAGTTCTCTCTAACTCACCCCTTGACAGCCACATAAAGACACAACACTGCCATTATCCTGAAATGAAACTGGAACGCTACCTCATCAACAGCATCTTATTAACAAGTAAGAAAGGACAATGGTCTCTGACTTAGAAGTGGCCCTAAGTATTATCTCCTAGGTTTTATTTCTTCAGCAAGTAGAAAAATGGATGAAAATAAAAGGATTTATATACTTAGAAATGGCAATCTCACTTTAAAGCTATTACAGACTAAATGTAAATGTGAAGAAAAAAATGTTCATTTATTCACTGGAGTATGACGCTACTTACCAGCACCTCTTGTTTCACTAATGGCTATACCTACCTTGTAGCAGCACCGTTAGCATCTGCTCAGGTCTAGACAACACAGGCAGTGTTTGGTTCAAGTTTTGCTAAGTACCTTGTCCCAAAAGATCAAGTCTTCACTAAACCCAGTAACAGCTCATTCTCCCACCTTTCTGACCCTCCACATGGGCCCTCTGTCCTCGGACACATCACTTAACTGTAACAGTGTAAGCCCCCACCCCAACCCCCAGTGCTGGGGATCAAGCACTGGCCCTTCAATGTGCTGGATGGAAGTATACCCACAGCCTCCTCCCTTTCTGGAAGTGACTTTCTCCCAGTTCTTAGGAGTGAGTCATGAAAGAATGTAACACCATCTTTCCTACAGCCGAGGAGGAAGCTGAAGTCTAGTCCTGGGGATCTAAGACTTCAGGTAGCCCTTAATGTTCTCATGTTCCCACAGAGGACAGAACATAATGTTCCAGGATAATTTGATGATGGTGACAGTAACACTGCTATTCCTCCTAAAGTCAGAACCTCTGCATGTTTAAGGCCCAGGAGTGAGTTTCACAGGATCGTATCATATAGGAGGATATTAAACTAAGTATCTCGGTATACTCTGGCCTTAATTAGTGGATTATGCAAAAAGTTATTTTTCAAATGTTTCACTTCTACCCATGTTTGGATTTCTTTATTATTTTGTTAAGTTCTCCAATATGAAACATCACATTATCCATCAAAATACAAAAGCCAGCAGGTGACACTAATGCTGGACACAAACTTTGTTCAACGCTGCATAAATTTCATCAATCTAAATTTTCACAAGTTACTGCTTCCCAGCCTTACCTGCTCTGCAATAAGATCACAGTTTATCGGTGTCATAAATCCAACTGTTTTTTTCTTCCCAAAATAACAGCAAAGAATTTATTTACATATCTTAAGATGTAGAATTTCAGATTTGTTTTCCTGTAGGAAGTCCAGCAGTTAGACTATCTTTAGAATACGTTGAACTAATCTAATTATTTTCTATTTTTAACTCTGAAAATATTGTTTTATGAGACAAGTGGTAAACTCAGCGTAGGCTTAGACAAAATGATACTTTAGAAAACTCCTTTATGCAAACCCATATACTCTTTGATTCTTTTGAAACATCCAATGTCTTACTAGAGGCTACAGGTCCACCTTACAAAACCTTTCCCCAACTGGCCCAAAAAGCACTTAATTCCTACCTAATTCTTGAAAGACCAAGATGCCGCCTCTTACAAACAACGTCTGTGAAAAAGGCAGGCAAGCTGACAGGCGTACAGTATAATAAAACCCAGCTCTGTCAACAGCAATCTGGATTGTGTGGGCAAGTTTTACCCATTTCCTACATCTTCACTAAAATGTGACTGATTTACTTGCTAAAGTTCCCAGTGTTATGAGCACTATATTCAACAGCATACAGAAAAGTAACGAGGCCCTCAAATGATTTTCCCAAGTTCATTCTTTTGCTAGGCCAGTATTTAAAATAAGAAAAACTTTACAGTAGATGGGCCAAGAACATATTAAGTACAGGCTAAGAGTTCAATTAAGGGAAGATGACAGATCCAGGGCTTTAGGAGTTTAAAGGGGACCTTGGTTTTCACCTAGTATATTAAGTGATAAAAAAAGATGCAGTAGGTAGACACTACAGGTTTTGGTGGTAGGGAACAGAAACAAAAAGTTTCTGGACCATTAGTCCAACCTACACAGAGCTATCAGCGTAGCACTAAGAATGAACTAGAAAAAGAAACTAGGAAATGTAGATACACTGGCTCCTAAGAGAAAAGCAGCAAAATAATTTGAGAATAAAAAAATTAATGTCTGTAACCAAATGTCAAATATTAACTTTTGGAAACTTCCTTGTACAAATAAGTGTTCCTTAATTCAGCCGTGAGACAGTCAATTCTGACAACCTAAACTAAGATAAAGAATAAGCAACATTTCTTAAAGTAACAGCCAAAGTCTACCACAATAAATTCTAACACTCTTCAAATTCGTTGTGCATTTTATTTTTAAATACTGAATTGACAGCTCTTATGTATGTGACACTGAGCAACACAACAGGAAAGGAGTTTGACAGCAACAGAACAATCATTATTTCTTACATCTATTCTCAAATTTTAGGATTAGTTTCATGCTACTACTTCAGTGAACTGAAGAAGGTCAGTAAAACCAATTTACTGATTAATGTCAATGCTGATAGTGTGACAAAATTTATAAATCTCAAAGAATAGGTAACTTACAATTCTCTTATACCCCTATTGCTCAACAACTAGGCCTTGGGCGAAGCACTGAAAACACCTGGGAGCCTGTGGAGCCCCCAAACCTCAAGCTCTACCAACCCACAAGGAGGAATATCTGCAGCCTAACAAGACGCACATGCACCTGTACGTGCACTGCAGTTTGAGAAGCAATGCCGCAGACCCTTGAGACGTGACCACCTATACTGTTTTAAGGATGAAAAAAAAAAAAAAAAAAAATCGATGGAGCGTAAACATTTTGTGTACACAAAAAAATATGGTTTAAATATTAGACATAAAGAAAGCAAAACCAGTAATTTGAGGTGTACATAATAGGTTTTCTCAAACTCAATTCATAAAATTATGCAATCTTAGGATTTTCAACTAATACAAGTGAAAATGAAGCTGTTATAAACAAAACCTAATGTTTTATCCTGCTTTCATAATCCCTTTTTTTTTTTGGATACCAGGAATCAAACTTAGGACCTCACACTTGCCAGGCAAGTGCTACGCTGCTGAGCTATATATCCCCAGCTCCTCATAATCCACTTTTGAAAATGTTTTCCTTCTAAACTAAAAAACATGTAAAACCTCCTTTTTACAAAATTCCAGCAACACTATCTTCAACCATCTGTGGAATATCAACTATCTATTCCACTGCACAGTTTCCTCAACACTCTGTGATGTTAGCTGGCCCCAATTAGATGTAAGAATCTAACAATATAACCTTCAATTATGAATAGAAACATCTTAAAATGCAGTCAGCAACTGTTTAAGCCCTTAACATGATTCATCTTCTGTATTTTATTCTTTGTTTTTCTAGAAAAA